AATTATTTTTATTTCATATGTTACTACCTGTGTGCTTTGAATATACACTGGTTCAGGTATAGTCTGAAAACTTTCCTTGTGAGGAAACGGGGAATGTTGAAAGAATGATTCAAGGATATTTGGGTTGCATATAAGATCAAAATATGCTAGTTTTAGTTACTTTTTTGTTGCTTGAACGAAATACCAGACATCCACAAGTTGAAAACAGAAAGGTGTATTGTAGTTCACAGTTTATAGAGGTTTCAGTCCATAACCGACTGGCTCCAAGGTGGGGTGGCACAGCAGAGGGGCATGGCAGAGGAGAAGCAATCCACGGCGGGGCAGATGGAAAGCAGCAAAGCAGCAGCACTGAGCCACTTTTTCCCTTTTATTCCACTCAGGCTACAAGCCTATTGGTTGGTGCCACCCATACTCGGGGTGGCCTTCCCATTATCCACACCCAGAACTATGCTATGAGTGGGCTAATTTAGTTATTACACAGTTAATCTACACTCACACACTCTAGATCCAGCCACCTACAAAAAACCCCACCTATGAGTGCATAAGGCATCGGAAGGATATCCACATACAAGCCATAACAATTAGAAAACCTGGCAATTTCGTAAAGATAGTTGTGTCATAATAATGCAAACTGAAATGTTGAAAAAAGTCAAAACCAGAGCATATTTTGGAAGATTTATCACCCTCTTGAAGGTGCAGGTAGAACTCCCATTGTGCAATAATTTAGATAATTTCAACATTATAGTAATGAGCAGGGGTAATATTTAGGGAGAATCAAGAGAAAACAAATCCACACATAACTTCCACAAGTATTTCTTCTTCCACAAGTATTTCTCTCGAGAGCCTATCATTTCATTGATTCAATACCACAAGCCAGATTTGAGGGAGGGGTGCAGTACTGGGAATTAAACTCAGGACCATGAACATACGAGATAAGCACTCTACCGCTGAGCTGCATCCTCAGGCCTTTGTATTTATTTTGAGACAGGGTCTAATTTGCCCAGGCTGCCTCGAACTTGCAATATGCTTGCCTTGGCCTCCTGAGTAGCTAGGATTGCAGGTGTGTGCCACCACGCCCAGCAAGTTGGATATTATCAATATTTTCTCCAGCCTGTGTTTTAAAAAATGCACCTATAACATGGCCAATATAATGACTACTTGGGAAACAGTGACATCTTCTGGTAGTTTATAAACTACACAGCAGATATCCTCCCCCACCCCAAAACCAGCTAGTTTTAAAAGAATGATTTATTTATTCTATATCTATTTATTGAGCCCCTACACGTGACTCCTTAAGTTTCTGAAATATCCAATAAGGTATAAATGATTAGATGAAAATAACATTATAGCTCACTTATTTTGCTTCTTGCCTTGCTATCATTCTTGGCTCTAATAGAAAACACTTTAAGCAGCTAACATTAATTCTACTTTTTTTAGTCATCAAATTATTTGAACAGATTTCCCTTAATTCAAGTAGTTTTCATATAATATCAGAATTCAAAAAGACTTTGGAACAGTTACCTATTATAATCTCCTCCCTAGTAAGTCTGTCTTCATTTCATATGTGATTCCTAAGTAATCATTTGATAAAAGCATTAAGTTCTTTTTAAAAGGCTCCATGCATCTGGGCTCAGGGCCTACCTTCTCTAAGGCGCTGTGCTCCTCCTCCACAGCTGTCACTGCATGCATCCCACTGTTCTGAAGTCTGCTCTTCACACGAACTCCTGCAGAGCAAGGCCTGCTTTTCACTCTATATGTCCCAGGACTCACAGCACCACAGCTAGAACATTCTTTTGGCCTGTGTGTGCACATGTGCTACTAAGGACTGAATTCAGGGTCTTCTCACTGAGCTACATCTCCAGCCCTTTTTTACTGTTTTTGTTTTGTTTCTGAGACAAGGTCTCACTGTGTTGCCCGGCTGGGCTTAAACTCATGATCTTCCTGCCTCGGCCTCCCAGAGCACTGGGATTACAGACAAGCCACCATCCTGGCTTGGCCTATGTTTCTGAAGAGTAAATGTATTCCAATTTTTCTTGGTTGAAGTTGGGTTCTTTGTTGCTCTATGTCCATCAGAAGGAAGGCACCGGTACCTACTGAGCACCTCCCCATAGCAGGAGCCAAGCCAGGGGCTCACACATTTCCCTCACTGAATTCGAATAAGCCAGTTTGTGCACAGTCGAAAGCAAAGTGTGGTCAAGGAAAACGATGTGTGGTCCAAACAAGGCAAGCCAGGCACAAAGGTTTCCATGAAGGGCTGAATAGAATTCAGAATTTCTAGAGAAACGATGGCTCAATTTGGGGCCAACTTCATAAGCATTTCTTAAAAATGAGATTTTGAATGTTGGCCAATAAAGATTGCTGCCAAGTGCTGGAGCACAGGAGCTGGTGCTGACTGAGGGCGGATTCTCACAGTCTCTGCAGCCAGAGCCAAGGACAGAAACTCACCGCTCCTGAGGCCTGGCTCAGCGAGGGACCTTCCCAACTAGTGATCAGGAGTGCCCGCAGCTACAGACAAGATTACTTAGAAGCATTTTGGGCTGTGTTCCAACACATGAACAAATGCATAAGGAATCTTGTCTTGTGTCCACAGAGCATGAATGCTATAATTTTAGTCTACATTTTTTGTGGTACCGGGGATCGAACTCAGGACCTTGTGCTTTCGAGGCAGGCACGGTGCCACTGAGCTAAATCCCCAGCCCTGTTTTTAGCCTAAATTTAAAAAACAAAACAAAATAAAAACAGACACCCACACACCCTGTATCTGGTGCACAAGTCCATGCCCTGTATGTTTCTAGTGTCCTGGGAAATACCTATTTGACTGGTCCCATCATTGTATTTAGAAAGACTGGTGGGGTTAGGGATATAGATGTGGAATAGACCTACACGAATACTGATTACTGCAAACTCTACACACTGAAGTCTATCTCACCAGCTATACACAAATGTCAAACATCGGATTTGCCAGCAACCTAGGACATTACACAAAAGAACATATCCAAAAAGTAGGCGGGAAAATCAGAACTGTATCAACTAGGTATAATTAAAATAGCAAAACTGTCCACTACTGGCACATTGCTAAAAAATTTTTAGAAAGAGTTTTAAATAAAGGATGAATGGATAAAGAAAAGTGGTATTTCCACAATGGAGTACTACTCTGCCATTAACAAAGACAAATTTGAGTCATTTGTAGGAAAATGGATGAACCTGGAGACCATAACATTAAGAGAAGTAAATCAGACACACAAGCTTAAATATCGCATGGTTTCTCTCATATGGAAAACCCAGAGTAAAAATAAAGAGCAAAATAAATATAATATGAAGTAGGGAGATAGATCTTTCTCAAAAGGGAAGGGATTCAGGAGATGGAGGGAGGGAGAGGGGAGGAAAGGGGAGGAAAAAGAGGAATGAAGATGTGCTGTGCCCATGCGTCAGCTCCCCACAAGGGATGTAAACCTTGTGTACTGCAAAGGCCTACTAATAAAAAATCAAAAGACAAAAAATTAAAAATAGGGCCGGGGATTTAGCTCAGTGGCATTGCGGCCACCTCGCAAGCGCAAGGTCCTGAGTTTGATCCCCGGTACCAAAAAAAAAAATTAAAAATTAAAGTTTATCCATTTTTTAAAAAGGTGAGTCAGCCAAGGTGAGTCAGCTGCTTTGGAGAGGGTGGTTTCCATAGGAACACAGTGCCAGTGGTGAAGGAACGTGTCAGAGGGCGTGGCCAAGCGGCACAGTTGCCACGGTAGCAGAGCTGGATGCGACTGGCAGTGCTGGAGACCCTCTGCTTGGACTGGGGGCTTCCTATAGTGGAAAAAATGCACAAGCAGAACCCTGAAGTAAAATGGGTCTTTTTGCTGCTCTTGCTTTGCAGGGCCATGCCAGTGCCCTCCACTGATGAAGCCTAACATGCCACCAGCTGGCAAAGAGCTGAGAGTACCCAGCTCCAGGAGCACCAAGCAGGGCAGACAAGGAGAAGTCTGGAGCTATGAGATGATCGATTGTGGTCGTTTGCTCCTCTGGGTATGATGCTTCCATATATACCCTCGCTGTCTGATGTTTATTCAGCACTGGAAATGTTTAAAATATATGCTCTATCTCAAGACTGAGTACCAATAAGCAATGTAAAATATTTCACTCGGGGTTTTTTTGTGATTTACATCAGTTCCATGCAGACGTGATATTTTTGATATATTAACCTAAATTATATTAAAGTTAATTTCCCAATTTTTAATTGGCATACTAGAAAAACTTTAAATGACATATGTGGCTTGTATCCCAGGTAAAGTTATCCCTGAGTGGCCGGAATATCCAACAGCTTCATTTTGGTGAAACAGCCTTTCCAGCTGTACCTCTCCTCCTCCCCACGTGTGAGCTTTCGTTCTGTATGTATCTGGGTTCTATAAGCACCACTAACCCCAGCCCTCCTCAACTCCAGTTCAAAGAAGCAGTCCCAAAGCTGATGCCGACTTCAACACCAATTTCCAGGATAAATACATTTATAGTGCCCAACAAGCACTGAACATTTACTTGTTATGTACATGACTGAACAAAAACATCTCTGGAAGAATTCATACAATAAAGGACATGACGGGGTAAAGGGCCCTCAAGCGCAGAGTAGGAAAAGATGTCGCTTCTACTCCTGGTCTAAGCTCCTTGGGTTAAGTCATGCAAACCCCAGGCCCACTGTTTCTACAACTGCTCAGAGAAAGACAGAGCTGAATTATTTGTTTTATTCTAACTTAAGTAATAAAATCCTTTTAGGGATTAAAATTAACTTTTAAAAAATACTAAACTAAAAGGTGGAACACATTATACTTATTAAAAATAAACTCTGGCTTCAGGTACAGAGTGGCTCCAATGTAAAATGTATGTCTTACTACATGTCACAGACATTGTTGCAGATGGAGCTCTTAAAATCTGGTACTGTCTCAATTCTTACAGATTCATTTGTCTTAAAACTGTTCCAAGACCAGTAAGTCACAAAGTATGAAATCACAACTTAATATGGAAAGGTTTAAAAAGCTAAAATTTATTTGGTACACATTTTGCTTTCTATCAGGCATTTTCACATACTCCTTTAAGCAACCTTGTGAGGTATTTTACAGGTTAAAAAAACACAACTACCTCCTTAATCAAGAAGAAGGGTTATAAGTGTTGCTAAAAAAACAAAACAAAACAAAAACCAAATTCGGGCTATTTCCATTTCCTTTATGCATTCTCTACATATATCACACATTTTTAGCATTAGAAGAAAAGAGAACCAATTCAAATAAAAGGAAATCTTTTTTGTAATTTTTGTCTGTAGGTGCCCTGTAACCTATCAATTTTCTGCTCTAAGCTCAAGAGGCTTAAATGCTTTCAATATCTGAAATAATTTTAAGGTGATCTAGCACTTCAAATACTTTGTTCATATAGGAAACACATTTGCCTAAAAATAGCACAGTTTTTCAAAGGCAATTTTACAACAGAAAGAGGCAATGAATGGCTCATTTGATGGAAATGATTCCAATAAAATACCTTTGAGAAAGTAGAAAAAAGTGTAAGAACATCTTTATAAAAAATGCAGCACCGTCACTGCCTGGTGAGCAAACATTAACAAGTGAAAATTACCTAAGAATTACACAGTATTTTTTTCAAATAACCTATTTTCAGATTTAGAAGTTCAAGTCATATAAACTGCTACATTAAGGGTTTCTTCTAATTAGGAAGTGATTACTGACAGCAAGTCCTTTTATAAAATAAAAAATAGTCCCCAATAAACGGCAACTACTGAATTGTTACAAAGACAAAATCTTCAATTAAGTAATTATGCCATTTGTAAGCTTTTCCCAAGAGAAATCTTGTGTTAAAAACAAAATAGCTACTCTGGTCAAGTTGTAGATATATTTGACAAAAATATTTTGGATCTTTCTGGTTTTCTTCATTTCTTAAGACAACTTTCTTCAATAATCTTATCAGTTCTATAATCATGCTACAAAGTACAGCTCACAGAAAAACTAGATGTGAAAGCTAACTTTTATTTTTAAACACCCCCTTCCTTTACTAAATATTATCAGCAATGTCATCAAATTATAGTTTGTAATCAAATACTATCTATTAAACAGATATCGAGTGTGTATGTGTATATGTATTTTTCAATGACTATTCATAGTCAATGAATAAACTTAGTACCAGCGCACTAAACTTCATATGGTTTATTTTAAATGATTGCTGGTTCCAAATAATTAAAAACCACAAACTGTACGGGAGCAACTATACTACACAGACAATTCTTTAAAAGATAAAGTTATCACATAACAGTGGAATATAATTTTTAAAACTACAAATGACAGCATAAGGCTCTGTGGTTGAATAATCAGCAAATTAAAAACAGCAGAGAAAAGTTTTGAGAAATGAAACATGTTGCCGGTTAGGAGAACTTAATTCTTTCCTTTCTAAAAATGGCTGATTATGGACATTAAAATGCTCAAACAAAAGGTTGCTGGAATTTCTAGAAAAGATTTCAGCTGCAGTATTTGATGAGGTCAGACTATCATGGCAAGCTGAAAATTAATCTGTTGATACAGAAGATACAACTGTTCATTCGTAGTGAAGTTTAATTACATTTGAAACAATACAGCTGAAATCTCAAGTTTACTCATTAAATATAGTTTAATTCTTACAAACTTCCTTTTGAAAATGTAATGCACATGTGCTGCAACCTCATAAGTTTAAATTCAAAATGAAATATCAAGGCAGGAGTCGGGGAAATCACATCAGATTCCTTTGCCAATAATCTGTACATATCAGTACATAGCTCTTCTGCGATGCGGTAGGAAAAAACAGATCCCAAATGTATCCAAGTAAATGCAGAACAATACATAGCTATTTGAGGCAGATCATGCGAAAATATAATGTACAATGATTAGTTTGCATTTAAGATGATGTATAATGCTTTCTAAACCAATAAAATTAAGATAAGTTAAATTTTGTAGCATTTGTTCAGTCTTTATTACTAAACGTTAGTTCATCTGAAAAGTAAATGAAGACTGGAAGAAGACAAAATCTGATCATTTTTATGCTCATCATTTTCTCAGTCATACTAAATGCAAACAAACCAATACAGCATCAAGATTTTTCACATATTAAAATGAAGACTAATGACCTGGGAAGACAGACTGTGTACCAAGTAGAACACAAAAAGGGAGTTTGCAGTTACCAATTGTTTTTTAAAAGAACACAGATATACAAGGCAAAATAAACATCTGATTTAAAAATTCTACTATTCAAGATAACTCAGTTGTCCTTTTTTCTCTCTGACACTGGTAAGGATTGGGGTTTTAAAAACCTGAAGAGGAGTTTGTAAGAGGAAAAATTCCTCAGTGCTTTAAAAAAACTCAACTGGTTAGGAGTTCATACAACTACTCTGCTGGCTGGCGTGGCAACAGATGCTGTCTGTCACCAAACCATTCACTTTGCAATAATAGTTGCCTCGAGCCAAGTAAACAAAGATGTAAATTAGCTTACCCATGATTAAAACAGAAGTAATCCTTCAAAACTAGGAGCAAGACACCTCACCCAAAAAGATCTTTCAAATCATTGCTAGCTGAACTGCCACTGGTCATAGCAGTGGGTGGCTGTGCAAAGTTCTGTGGGTTAAAGAAAGGGTTACCCTGCATGCCGAAGGTAGCTTGTCCCATCATGCTCACCTGCGGTCCCACTACCGAATTGCCCAGACCTGGAGAACCTTGAGGAGGTACAAAGTGATTAAGCCACTGATTTGGTTTCTGTTGTGATAGCTGGTTCACGCTAACTTTGGGTTTCTGAGGACCAAAGAGATTATTAAGGGCAGACATATCTGCGGGTCTCTGTTGGGTCTGCTTCACGCCAGCACCCAGAGCACTGAAGCTGGGCAGGGTGGGAGGTGCCCCCGGAGTCAGAGTGCTCACTCCGGGGGTGCCTGGACTACTGAAGAAGTTCTGGTTTGTGTTAACCGGCATGCTGAATCCCGAAGTCTGAAAGCCCATATTGCCATTTAGGCCATTTGTCAAATTTCTCCTCGGATTATCAATTGGTGTAGAAAACATCATGCCCAGGCCCGAGGAAGGAACTGAAGTGAAGGTACTTGAAGCAGAAGATTTGGGGGTACTGACAGAGAGGCTGCTCAAAGATGACATATTATCCATCAATGTGTCTGTCAAGTCCTTAGTCTGAAAAATAGGAGGGAATTACGTATATCCAAGAAAACCAATTTACTTCATAATTAAACATTTGACATTAAATTATAAAGGACAAGTTAAAAAATACAATCAACAATCTATACCAAGTCAACAAACTGTGGCCTACAAGCCCAATACAGCCTGCATCCATTTTTGTATAATTTTACAGGTGAATATTTGCTATCAATTCAATGACCGTGAACACTAACATTAAACTCCAATTACATAAATCGTTAACTTCCCAGAGTAGAATTACACTTCTCATTAGTAGATCCTTATTATGAAAAAGGGATCCTTTACTATTCTGAATTTCATCAAAATTTTGTGGGAATCCATTTTTTTCTTTTTATATTCTGCTTCTTGGCCTGCAAAGACTTTCTTCTCAGAGGAAGAATTTCAGTGATTAAGAGATAACAAAAATAAAATATGTTAAAGCTTATAAGATGTAGTTATTTTTTAAACTATTAAGAGTGTAAATTCTACAAGCAGAGCCCTTGTTCACTGCCACAACACCAGTGTCTAGAACAGTACCTGCAACACAGTAAGAAATAAATACTGGTCAGGAGAAGGAGGAATATCTTCCTAACTCAAGTCACAAACCTGTCATTGAAAAGCCAAAAACTGTGATTGGCTAAAATTCATTAGGAGCATAAATATAATATTCCTGATCATTTCAGAGTGAACAGAACTGAATTGGTACTATGAGACCTAATATGTTTTTACACTCCACCTACTCATTCACCTCTCTCTCCACTGGTAACAAGCACTGGCATGCAAAGCGGTGCATTAGGCAGGTTATGGAAGAGGTGCAGGGAAACCCTTATAATGACTCTGTGGAAACTGCACATTAGAGTATTCTTTGAACTGCATCTCTTGCCCACCCTCGGAGAGTAGATTACTAGTAGAGCAACTGACATCACACAGATGGGATGACTCTGACCTGTTTTACTGGAGCGATGGTGGTGTGTACTTGTGGGTGAAGAGGCTGCTGGCTTTTCAGCTTCTGGGCCTGCTCCTGTTCTTTTGCTAATTTTTGTTTTTCTTCGAGTGTAAGTGATGCCTTAAAACAAAACAAAGCAAAACGTCAACTGGCAACTTCATAATTATTTGTAGAACAAAAGATTTTTTTCCTCTGGTAAAGTACACCTAGGTCTAGTTGGCAGTGCTTACTACAATGGATCCTTGATTACAAACTCAATTCATTTTCGAGGGCTGGTTGTTACTCAAGTTGGTCATGTGAAGGCTCAGGCTCCTCTACACAGCCTCCGAGTCTCCCTCCTGTACGCAGGGAGATCTCAGTGTCCTTAGAAATTGGCCCAGGATTTCTCAGTGAACCCCACACGGGAAAGGATGTGCTAATGTTCCTTCCAGAACTCTTCAACGGTTAAAACTGTATCTGGAAGCACAAATGGCCAGCATTCAGGTGTAACTCAAGACTTTGGTTGCAACTTCAAAGTAAAATTCCAGTCATAACCCAAGTTGTTCGTATGTCAGACCGGTCATAACTCAAGGGTCCATCGTACTTAACTGCAAAGCAAACTCCAGTGTTGGTGAATGCCACAGGTAAGTTCTATTTCTTTTTTTTTTTGGTACCGGGGATCAAACTCGGGTCCTTGCGCTTGCACAGCAGGCAGCGAAACCACTGAGCTAAATCCCCGGCCCTTAAGTTTTATTTCTAATTACTACCAGATTTAACTCTAGGGAGAAACTCACAGGATCGGTGCTAAAATCTGTCTATTAAAAGCATTCATTAGAATCATCTTCTAGACAGAAATGAGAATATCATTAATTCCATTCCACAAAACTGGGAGATCCTGTTCAGCTCTATTTCATTCCATAAAGCTATGGAAGAACTAAACCAACAAGTTCTTTCACTGTCAATGTCTGCATCAAATTTGATGCTTCTCTTTTCTTTTATCAATTTTTATAAACTAAAAGCTCATAACATCTTACAATTTTGAAAGCTGCTATGTCCCATGTTTCATTGGCTTGAAACATACAGGTATTCATATTTTGCGAATGAATAGAAGAATGACCTCAGCAGAAGTCTAAACCTGGCAAGTACTTTTTTTTACTATGCTAACCAAAATTTCAATAAGGAAGTATTGCTTTATTATTCAAAGTCAGAGGAAGAGTGGAACTTTTTCATCTGCTTTTTGTTTGGTACCAGGAATCCAACCCAGGACCTCTTGTTTGCCAGGCAGGCATTGTGCCACTGAGCTACATCTGCTTTTGAGATGGAACCAAATCTATCTTTAAAATTCTCTTGAAAATAGTGGTGATCCACCATTAGTAAGATACATAAACATATATATATATATGCTTATCGTTTCTGTGGTATTCCTGACAAAAAATGTAAAACCTTAAGTCTAATTAACAGAAAACATTAGGCAAATTCAAACTGAGCACCATTCTACCAAAAAACCGACAAGTATTCTTCAAAAATGTCAAAGAGAAAATCTGATGGGCTAAAAAAGTTAGTTGCCACCATGGAATGAAAAGAAAGTAAGGTTACTGGGCTTAATTTTAAAAACGAAAAGAAAAAGAGGAAAGTGTGGCCGGTTGTGACACAAGCCTTTAATCTTGGCTACCCAGGTGGCTGAGTCAGGAGGGCTACAGGTTCTAGGCCAAACTGGTCAATTGAGATCCTGTCTCAAAATAAACAAATCAAAAGCGCTGGGGGTGTAGCCCAGTTCTCCCTGGGTTCCACCCCCAGTACTGCCAAACGGAGCAAAACGGAACGGAGCAAAACGGAACGGAGCAAAATGGAACGGAGCAAAACGGAACGAAACAGAACGGAGCGGAACGGAGTGAAACGGAGCAAAGCGCAACGAGTGGAGCAAGATGTGATGGCACACAACTGTGCTTCATAAAGGTAATTACGGGACGTTTCCTGGTGAGGTGCCAGATAGTATTTCCCAACAAGCCTCTGGTTTACAGGAAGGCCCACGAGAGAAATGAGTAGTAAAAAGCAGTAAGATAACTCACTCTTTTATGTTTATTCTGTAACCCATCTTCTTTATTTTCTGATTCACCGCCAGTCAAAAGGTCTGTTCCAATGTTGTTAAAAACCCTGTCAATCTGACGAAATGAAAAAGTTCATCAATTGAAGAGATTTCAATAAAAAATGTAACTCACTGCTTAGAGATTAAAAGACTTAAAGCACACTGTCAAGCACTTTCGGCAAAAATTAGTTATCTTCCTACCTGATTCCCAGCATTTGTAACTTTTGTCTCCTCAGAAGTATTCATTTGATTTCCTATGTCCAAAGATCTATAGGAGAGATGAATAGGAAAACATATAAAAATAAATTTTTATTTCACTGTTTAAGGACAATTTTAATCGTTTCCACTATTTTCTACTATTAATGTCTGCTTGCTCAAAAACATAACATTTGTAGATAAGTCTTTTTAAATTCAACGTTTTGAAATTTACTGGCAAATACACAAGGGGTGCTAGAAAACAAGGCAAGCATGGCTCTTATAGCCTAATATCTCACTGAGAGAGAAGACATGATTTGGGAAACTGAGGATTCGGTTCAGAATCTGACACTAACAATAAAAACTATAATCACTGCGATGTGGATCAGAACTGTGTCTTGAAAAATAAATAGGACTTAGATAGGAAGAAACAGGGAAAGCCCCTTTTCCTCTTCAAATATTTATATTAAGTATCTGTTTCGGGGTAGGGGTGCAGCTTAGTGGAAGAGTGCAGGCTTAGCATGTGTGAGGCCCTGGGTTCAATCTCCAGTACCAAAAAAATGAATAAACTGTTTTTACCTATAATATACTTCTAAATATTATTTTCTAAGTCCCTAAATTAATGCAGCCAATGCATCAAACTTCTCACATGTATACATCACAAAACACTTGGAGCACACACAGGACTGTATCACCCATTTCTCCACTGTGCCTAGACTTCCATATTCTTCACCTTATAACAGGGCAGAAGCTAGAGTTCCTATCTGGGGATCTTGCTTATGACTGATATAAATTTTATTGTATCTTTGATTTTATTTTTGGTACCGGGGATTGAACTCGGGAACTTGTGCTTGTGAGGCAGGCAGCAGCACCACTGAGCCAAATCCCCGGGGCCCAGTATCTTTGATTTTAATAACATGTTTTAGTGAACAATTTCCATCTTTGCCTTCTTTGTTTGAATGCTAGTATTCTGCAAATAATTTAGAAAATCCTCCCTAAAAATAAGAGGTGAATGTTGTGGTACTACATGCCCTATAGGTGTTCCTGGGGTTAGAGAAAAGGACAGTGAGAAATTAAAACACTAGGGCTCATATATTTGAAAACTCAAGAGTTTACAATACCAGTGGCTAATGCCAACAAGGGACTTTTCTCAAAACACAATTTTCTTTACGTAAAGAAAATGCAAGATTTTATCATATTATGTCTTTGTACTAAGAAATGCCATTAGATTCTCAACAATATCCTATTTTAACTCAGTTCAAATTAATACACTTGAAATTTTTAAAATGTTTTACATATGGTCAAACTAAAGTCTAGCAACTTTCCTATCCCATACTGCAGAAAAGCAATCTTGGGGTAACTTTCATTTTGCCCCTGAGCCAGGTACGGTTCATCTGAATCTACTCACTTCTGCTGTTCTTGCATTATATGAAGTTGCTCCAGTTTAGTCTTATGTTCAGACTCCAATCTGCTCAGCATCTCTTTTATGACGGAAATGAAAGAGTTGAACTGGTAAAAGAGGAAATTGATAGTACTGTAACATTTCAAGTTTGCAGTAAATGTCATTAAGATAGCGCAATAAGATGATCACACTATGCTCCACTTTATCAATAAAATAGGGCTCACTCCGCACCAATGGCATAACAAGGATAGCATATTTAAACTCAGCAGACCACAGCGAGCTAAAACAATCTTTTGTGTGGTGGTATGGTTTATCTTTGTAGTTGATGAGGCTTTTAAGTTCCACAAAACATGTCTCAACAGATTTTATATCCCGAGTTAACAGCTTTAATTCAAGGGTCTTATGTAAGTTATATATTGATAATTTGTGCCTACTGGGAAATAATTTATTTAATAATACAGAGAAAATCCCTATTTATTCAGACAGTTAGAAAAATGACATCTGGCCCACATAAACCTTGTTCTCTGAAAAGCTGGCAGAAATTAAATGTACATTATCTACCTTCTAGACAATCAGCGTTCATGAAGTATACCAAACACTATTGCTTAATATACTATAAGCTTTGGTTAAACTTTGGGTAGCTGCTGATAATTCTTATGTTACTTCCAGATCTTCATAACAAGTTGTATGAATGACACCAGAAAGAATCTAGAAACCACTTTCTCCTCCTTAAATCTTATAACTGTATCTCTTATACAGACACTATTCTACTGATCTTCTCAACACTCCAGAGCAATTGTATTAGTATTTTTACTTTAGCCTTGGGCTCAATGAGAGAGACACAGCACCCCTCAGAAACATTCCAGAGCTCCCTTGGCAGAGCTGGAAATCAGTCCCTGAGCCTGAGCCTCTCACGGCTCTGCCCGCCACACCCTCCAGCAGCAGCTCCTTCCTGTCTTCTTACCCTGAGAGTGCAAAAGGCCTATTTCCTTCTCAGTTCACCAACACTGACTTTCTGCTAATTAGACCTAAAAACCTTTTACTGATCCTAACAGAAAAGTGTAAGTGCACAGCTCAAAAACTTCACAAACTGAATGAAAAGAATGAATGGGGAGCCAGACGGAGAAACCAAACAGGGCCAGAAGCGTCCTGTGGCCCTCGGGTCCCTTCCCAGCCCCACGCCCCGGGAAAACACTGTTCTGACTTCGGGCGGGCAGCACACACCAGTTTCAGCTGTTTGGGTATTGTAGCTAAATGGAATCCTTCAGTAGATCCTCTCCTGCATTTGGCTTCATTGCTCAACACTGTGAGATTTATCCGTGTTGCAGCACACAGCTGTGCAGAGCTAACATGGCAACCTGACTGCTGTTTTCAAAGGAAGGATAGGCTTACGAGGCTGGCTTTTGCCTGGTGTTCGGGAACTTCCACGTCAGGAAGGTTCCCTTTCTTAACTAATTGGCTCGCTGTGCCTAAACTGTCTGTATGAAGAATGCTCTCTGTACCGAACACCTGCTTCCCTTCTGGGAGTCTGGAATTTGAGAGCAGATAGAGGGTACTCCTTGATTACCTCTCAATAAAAAAAAGTGGGTGCCAAGTTTCTCCTGAGTTTCCCTGGTTGTTCACATTTCACACATGTGGTCACAACTCACGACTGGGAAAATTGAGCTCACCCTGTGCGATTCCACTACAAGAGGACTCTGGCTGGGAGCCTCCACCTGGTTTCCGCAGGGAGACATTAGTAGGTTTTTCCTTCTCAATTCTGTGTTATATCCCCTCACCACAATAAGCCAGAGCTGAGAGTACAGCTTTGTGTACATCGTTTTGAATCATCCAATTTGATGTCTTTAGGAACTCTTCCTAAAGACATCAGAGGTTTTTCCGTGACTGCTGCATGGTATTTGCTATTAATCAAATTTTAAAATATGTTTTTTTCCTAAGTTAATGACTTTTTTCATTTCATGTATAATATATGTATTTTAAATCATGACTGACAGAGAGGGAAGTCTAGAGTTAGAAACCCTGACCATGAGATGAGGAGAGCAGAGCACACCCATGCTAATAAGCCACTGTAAAATACCTGATGACAGGATTCACAGTACTTCTCCAGATGAAAATTGGCCCTACAAGAACCAAAAAGCTGGAGAAAATTAATACAACAATTCAAATAGAAGTATACATCCTAAAATAAGTCCTTGAAAATATTTTTAAACATCCTCAATCAGAAATAGGAGAACTAAGGATATAAATGACAAAAGCTGCAAACTGCTTAGAAGTATCCTATTCATCCTCAATGTTCACTCCCATTTTTCTAACCCCAACCCTAAACCTGCCACCGAAGACATAAAGTGTCAAACCTGGGGACAGACTCAAAGGATGTGTCAGACTGTATACTTCCACACCTCTGCTCACCCAGCACCCCTAACACCAAAAGCACTCTTGTCTACTTCAGCTTTCTGTTTCTTTCATTGCTCTAATTCACTTTTCAGTCCCTGATTCTAAACCTTCCCTGCCTGTCCTTCTGACAAGCTCAGATGAACAATAACTCTTCTCAGTCTTTTATATCATACTTCATCAAACATCCATCCTATTGTGAATAAAAATGGCTTACTGTTTGTGACTCCAAACTCAAATTTTCTCTCAATTTTTGTTTCTGGCACCAATCTAGGGTTGAGACTACACAATGAAGAATAAGCTATGGCGACTAGCTTTAGAGTTTATTCCCTTCAAGAAAAGTCAGTATAGGGCCAGGCATTTAGCTCAGTGGTGCCACACCTGCCTCGCAAGACAAGGTCCTGAGTTCGATCCCTGGTACCCAAAAAAAAAGAAAAAAGAAAATTCAGTATAGGCACATAGCTGTGATAACCACAGCAGAGAGATAATTCCGCAGTAATTTTTCCAGTCATTACCCCTGTGCTCAAACATCTACAGCATTCCAAGTTCAAATACCTGAAGCAGACAGGGATTTAGCCTTATTCTAGTCTCACTTGATCTCATTATTTCCCTTTCTATGCAACTGAATTATTCTTTCCCTTTGGCAGACAGGCTCTTAATTCATGATCTCCTCCTTCTGTTATCTATGTCTTTGTATAATCTCTCATCTTTGAAGGCGCAAGGAGGTATGACCTGCTTCAAAGCAATGGAATGATGACAAAGGTGGTAGGACGCTACCGGCCTGACTACATCATGAGGCTGTGGCTTCCATCTTGCTGGCCGACTCTTTCTTGCTGGTTGTGATGAAACAAGCTGTCCCACTGGAGGACCTCAGGACACGGAAGTGACAGTGCATCCGGTTAACACACAGTGAGGACTCAGGACCCCACTGTGTGTTGGCCGGATTCGGCCCCAAAGACCTCAATCCTGCCTTGGACCATTTAAGTGAGTGTAGAAGGAGATCATGCCCCAAGTGGGTCTTCAGAGGAGCCCAGCAGGGACTCCAACTAAGCCCACCCCTGGCATGGCTGACCCATGGAAACTAACAGAACTGCTTTAAAACCAAAATTGGTGGTGATTTTTTTTTTTTTTGGTACCGGGGATCAAACTTGGGACCTTGTGCTTGCAAGGCAGGCGGCAGAACCACTGAGCTAAATCCCCGGCCCTGTGGTGATTTATTATGTAACGATAAATAATAAGTACAATCCCCAAACACATTCCATGGCTTTGTTCATGTCAGCTTCCCAGCCCAAATCTAAAGCAATCCCAAATGCTACACCTTCTAATGTCCCATCCATTTACCACCTCCCAGTGAGGCCTTCAATAATCTACCCTTCCACCCCACAACCCTTCCACATCTAACTCAAATTTTTCCTTGTTTTAGCAATTTTGCCTAATGACTTTTCCTTTTTGGTACTGGGGATCGAACTTGGGACCTTCCACTTGAGAGGCAGGTGGAGGAATGTTTTAGCAATTTTTAAGTGCAGTATATTATTTATTAAAAAAAAAAAATGCCAAGAAAACAGCTGAATAAGGCCTGGGGATTTAGCTCAGTGGTTCTGCCACCTGCCCTAAAAGTGCCAAGGACCCGAGTTCGATCCCCAGTACCAAAAAAAACCACAAAACAAAACAACAACAACAACAACAACAAACCAGCTGAATAAATTGAATAAACCCCAAAATAGTCCTACCTGATTAAGATTCAGGTTGCTTTCAATACTCAGGGGGATGAGATGAGGCAATACTTTCCCGGCCAGCTGCTCTTTGGTAATTCCCAACTTCTTATGAGTAAAAGTGCATTTGTAAATACCTGATAGAAAAGAATGTGACAAAATGTATGTGCTAACAGTAATTTAATAGAAATCATAAGATACTTTGATAATCAGTATAGCACAGTAAAAGTACAGGACCTACACCTTACTGACTTCTTCAGCAAATAAAACTCACCATGTCCAAAACTTAGTAATTTAATTCAACTCCACGTGATCCTTTCCTAGTGCTCACCCCTATTTGCTCAAACTTCAAAGCTTCACCTGCTACACCCATTCCACCGTCTCTTTGGCTAAACTGCTTGGGAGAATGCTTGGCATTCTCTGAACACTGTTGTATTCTAAGGGTTTTGAAATAATCCAAAGCATGAGAACACACCATCTCCCACTATTTGTGTTAATGTACACATGACTTATAATTCAAACAATTCATTATTTTATTAAACATCTTACTGAATCCTTATTTGCTGGGCACTATGCTCATTACCTTTTGTTTCACTGAATTCTCGTAAGAACCCTAGAGTGATGCTTTTATCCTTGTTCAATAAATGAAGAAGCGTTCCACTATGCCATACTTTTGCTCAAGAACACAAACTTCTTAGAGCACGAAAGATTCAAACAGTACACCAAGAGTTCTACATCTAAGAGAGGGCCAAAATAAATACTTGCTAATCATTCCTACAGTATTTACCAAGGGCTTTATATAAGCTGTGCACTACAGTAGATGTCAGGATACAGAGATGTATAATATAGTTTTTGTTAAAAATAAAGAACCTCAGCAGCACTTCAGAGGCTGAGCCAGGAGGTTCCATGAGTTCAAGGCTGGCCTGGAGTACATAACAAGATACTGTCTCAAAAAGCGAAAAATAAAGAACCTCAAATTTAGTAAGAACACACTGTCGATGCTTTTGTGCTTCTCCAGTCATGACTGTTCCTGTCAGTACGGCAGACCTCTGGCATTTTCAGCCTGCACTTCCTCAGCTCTCACTATGCACAAGCGACTTCAGAGTTTCTTGACAGAATCATTTTAACTTGCTGATAGCATCAAATGTACAAAAAGCTAATACACATGTCATTAGTGAAACATACTGGCTAAGATTCAAATATATCTAAACTTTAAAAATAAGCTCTTCTTCCATTTATCAGTTGTATGATCTTGAGTGACTTACTTTAACCTAAGCCTCAGTTTCCTTGTTTTAAAAAATAATTCCTAAATTGATAATGTAAAATAGGAAGAAAAGGTCCAAAGGGGTAGGGGTAGTGGGAGGGGCAGGGGAAAGGAAAGAAGGGAAAGGAAAAATGCTCTCTGGATTAGAGGAAGGACAAAATAAGACAATGCAGAGAAAAATACTTTACCTCTCAAAAGCTGAGTACCAAATAAATATCAAGTATTACTAAGACTGGCATCAGCATTTCAGAGGTCAGTTTGTCTCTCTTACATAGTACCTGTTATGGGGGAAACTATGCTCTCACATTTGTGAAACTATGGTTCCTAATTACCTTATTATTTTTTATAAATGTCTATTTTTACTGCTTTTGCTAAAATCAATACACAGAGAAAATTTATATTATGACATTTATCCACTCATTCTTCAATTACTGAATGTTATATACATGAAAAGAATAATGTTTTATACATTAGGAAATATATTTGCATAACTGTAAAACAATAAAACAGTGGCAAATGACATTAAGTTTTCAGCTACCTAAAATTCCCATGAGGACTGCAGGTTCCTTGGATGGAATCTGTTGTAAGAAGGGCAGGATATCATCAAGTACAAACCATTTATCCAAGTATTCCAGTATCTTTCCTAAGCACACTAATGAATTCACACGAACCTATTAAAAGAGATAATCACATTAGTGATGTAAAGTCTCTGTAACCCAGAACAAAATATTTAAGTGTAAATTTAATCTTCCTATAGATACATGCTAAAATTTCAAGAATAAAAAGTTTTGAATCCATGCTTTAATAACACAGGAAATTCACTTAATTACTAACTTTCTTGACTTGCTTCAGAAAGAATTTATAATTGTTTCACCACGACAGTAATTAGTTAAATACAAGGAATAATTTCAATTTTGTAGTATTCTAAACAAAATGATAGGGCTGGAGAAGCTTTAATTATCTATGTGTTTACTAAGAACATTCCTTTAGGAGCTTTTTAATTTTATAAAAAAGAATACATTCTCCTCACCAACTGACCAATTTCTCAGGGACACCAGTATTTTACTTTAACTCAGGTTCAGTGTGTTCTTAAACTAAATATTTTAACATTTGACGTTATCTGTATTTGTCTAACATAAAGTTTTCTATTTCTAAATATATCTTTAATACAGTTAGGGAAAACTGACATTTAGAAACTCTCCTCAAAATTCTAAACTCACTTGGCTTTTGATAAATATGTAAAACCCTACACAATCTAGTTTTTAGCCGGAATTTGTTAAGATGGAATACCCTTTTAAGTCAAGACCAGAACAGCAATAAAACTAGTTAAAAAAGAAAAAAAAGCTAATCTAAGAAAAATAGAAAATAATTTGGTTAAAATTGTACCATATTTCTGTAGGAAAAATGAATTTTCCATTTCTTTTTTTTTTTTTTTGGTACCGGGGATCGAACTCGGGACCTTGCGCTTGTGAGGCAGGCGCTGGATCCACTGAGCTAAATCCCCGGCCTCCATTTCTGAAAAACAATGAACAACTGCTTTCTGAAATTTAAACAAGAAATACTATAAATTCTAAATGATATCTGAAGGCTTAACTTATTCTCAGAGTCAGTTGTATAGAAGAAAGCCAGGCTTGGTGGTTCGAACTTATAATCTCAGCACTTTGGGAGATTGAGGTAGGAGGCTCCCAAGTTCAAGCTCAGCCTGGGCAACTTAATGAGGCTTTGCCTCAAAATAAAAAATTAAAAAGGGCTGGGATCCAGCTCAGTGTAAATGCCCTGAGTTCAATCACCAGTAACCCCGGAACACACACACACACAAATGAACTGCTCCATCTAGTTGGATATATTTAAGGGAAAATGAAGATTAAAATACTGGTTCAACTTTATTTTCTTTTACAATATATAAAAATTAGTTCTTTTCGAAAAGCATAGTAGTGCACACCCGTAATCCCAGCACTCAGGTGGCTGAGGCAGGAGGATCAGCATGAGTCTGAGGCCAGCCTGGGCTACTAGTGAATTCAAGGCCAGCCTGAGCTACACAACAAGACCTTGATTCAAAAGACCAAAAATTAATAAATAAGTCAATCACGTGGGTCATGAATAAATATAGCTCTTAAGAGTATTTCACCTAACTCTATGCAGAATTTATTTTTCTCCATTTTCAGGGAACAATATTAAAATACAATTCTAACTCATGACATTTTTTCTTTTTTTAGGAATTTCCTAATTAGAATTTTTAAGCCTTGGAGAGTAAGTCTTATAAATGCAATTTAGAAGTACTTATTTCCCATTCTGCGGGGAGACAGGCGGACTAAAAGTATCTAAAATACACTTAAAAAGTAATGCATAAAATGCAAATTCCTTCTCCAGTTACATCTAAATTCATTCTTTATAATTCCTTGTTTTATTTTATTTTTTTGGTACCAGGGATCGAACTCAGGTCCTTGCGCTTGTGCAGCAGGTGGCGAAACCACTGAGCTAAATCCCCAGCCCTGTAATTCCTTTTAAACAGCATGTCTTTAAGTGCTGGTTAGCATCATTAAGAGACGCAAACCTCAATGGGTATGAATGCAGATCATCTAAGTATCTATGCTTCCCACACATCCCTGCACACACAGGCAGAACTGAACGCGTACTTTGAGAAAATGTATGCTAAAATAAATGTACACTGCCATAAAATAAGGGATAGTATAAGGTTTCTGGAATGGCATTTTGAAAACTGAATTTTAAGCTGCATACTAGTACCATCCTTTCTGAAAACTCAATCATAAAATGAGAGGGGCCAGGGATGTAGCTCAGCGGCACTGCACCTGCCCAGCAAGTGCAAGGTCTGAGTTTGATATGGGGAGGTAAAATTAGAGAAATTCAAAGAAAAGGGCTACATTTCAAATCCTTTTAACAATGACAGTGAAAGACACTCAGAGAGGTACAGAGACTTTCTCAAGGCCACAGGGGCAGTTATAGTTACAAAATCAGAATAAGAACTCAAGGGTCATGATTTCATTGCATCCCATGCTTACTCGTTTCCATGATTTCTTTTCCTACTATGGTCTTAGGTCTTTCATCTGCGAGCCTTTCTACCAAGAACATGAACTGTACTGGTTTAGACAGCTATAAAGTACAATCATGTCAAGGTGCTTCTGCCTTTCATTCTATTAAGCTACTAATACTCATTTTTATTGAAATTCACATTCCACCAAATGAAGATAAATGGGATTTCCAAAGAAGCTCTTACAAAATGCAAATTTAGTAATATGCTCATTATCAAACATCAATATAAAGAATTGGTCAGGAAAGGAAAAACAGGCCTGCCTTTTCTAAAGCTGCTATTTTGAAAAAACTATTTAACATTGCTTTCATAAAGAAATATCAATGTGATAAACTCTTAGATTTAACGTTACAGAAAAGTTAGGGACGTTCATTGGTTTCAATGTAAGATAATGCAAACTATGTTATTTATTCTACCTTTTTGATTATTTTAACTTAGTGTTAAAATTTTGCATTCAAAGAAACTACTTTTAATCTACATATTTTTTGTACAACTATTTCCCCTACTTACACTCATATAAACTTGTTTTATTGTCATCTACTTTTTCTAAAAATGGGTAATGGGAGATAAGAAATTTAAAAACTCATGACTAAAAATGAAGGCCATTTAAAAAGATTTTAGGCTTATATACCAAGTTAAACTCTGCTTCTTTTTTCCCCCACATTTCTTTTTCCTGTACCAAAAATGAAACTCAGGACCTTGAGCTTGCCAGGCAGGTGTGGTGCTGCTGAGCTACATCCCCGGCCCTCTGCTTATTATTTTAAAATAATAAAACTGTTGAGTTAAAGCAGAAAAGGATTAAGAAAAAAATTTTCTACTGAAGCCTTCAAAGTTAGGGAGCAAGGAATAAAATGAGGGATGCAGTATTGTAAAGTATCAGAAAAGAAAACCTACAATTCACTTTTACAGTACTATATACACGGTACAGACAAGACAAATTATAGTAATAAAATATAAGTGTTATTAAACAATGAGGAATATATTAAGCTACTGAGAAGTGGAAGACAAAGAAAAGTTAGTAATATGCAACTACTTACAGCAAGGGAAGACGTTTGTAGACAGGCATTTTTAATTCTTGGTATCAAAGCATTTTTCATGGATGGGTAGTCTATAAGGTTTGCAAAGGTTGGAATGATGTTCAGACAGAGCTCCTATTAAAAAAATAAATAAGATCAATCTTAGACAAAGATTCTCTCATGCTCTCACATATTCAAAAGCATTTTGATCTGCACGGCTCATTTGTCAAATAGTTTAAAATAAACTTCCATGTATATCATATTATTTGGTTTTCTTCAACTCTTTGCAAAAAGAAGAGTTATAATCCTTTTTCAGTTTTACAGATGAGTGAAAAGGTTCAAAAAACCTCATTCAAACTTGATCACAAAGCCAGCTGTGGTGGTGTGCGCCTGTCCTAGCACTCACAAGAGGCTGAGGTAGGAGGCTCCCTGGAGCCCAGGAGTTTGAGCCCCGCCTGGCTAAAATAATAGCAAGACCCTGTCTCCAAAAAACACAACTGACTCAAAAACCAAAGAAGTTATCCTAGGTCATAATAAGTAGCATATGCTATTCAAAATGATCCTGGTAGCAAAGCACAGGAGAAGAGACTACTGAGAGAAATGGAAGTGCAATAGATTGATGACACCATGAAAACTTGAAAACATTCATTTAGAGTAAGCAATAGAAAAGAGTTAGCTAGGAGTCAATTATCAAAGTACTGGCATGTATTTTATTCAACTCATCCCGAAATTTCCAAAAGGCAGATGTATCCACTCAGAACTATAAGAATAATGTCAGTGATATAACTTGTGGAGTTACAAGTAGCTGGGTGTGGTGGTGCACACCTGTAATCCCAGACCTGACTTCAAACCTAGTAATGGAAAAAAAAGAAATACAAGCTACAGGCAAGGATATGGTGAAACTGGTACTCTCATGCACTGTTGGTAGTAATATAAATTATCACAGGCACTATGGCAAACACTGCAGAGTACCTTAAAAGAACTGGCACTAGAACTAAAATTTAACCCAGCAATCTCACTCTTGCACATACAGCCAAAAGAACTGAAATCAGCACGCCGAAGAGATCCTCAAGCACCAGTTCACTGCAGCACTAGTCACATACCAAGAACAGAAACGGCACAGGTGTACATCAATATATGAATGAAGAAAATTGGGGAGATATGTATATTGTGAATATTATTTGGCCATGAAAAAAGAACTAGGTCCTGTTAACTGCAGCAACACGGACGGAACCAGAGGACTTTATGTTAAGTGAAGTAAGTGAGGCATTCAAAGTGAATGCTGCACACTCTTATGTGTGGAAGCTAGAAAAATAAAATAGTGGTTATCAGAACCTAGGACTGAAGGAGAGGTGGGAATGGTTAACGGGTACAGAGATGCAGATGGGTGGGAAGAATAACTTCTAATGTTGTGCGGCACAGCAGCGTAACTACGGTCGACATCAACTGAATACTTCAAAAGAGCACGTATGGAAGATTCTGAACATTCTTCACATAAAAAAAATGATAAACGTCTAAAGTGGTAATATGCCGATTACCCTGATCTGATTATTATACACTGTGTACACGTACTGAAATATTGCACTCTACCTCATAAATCTATGTCCAAAAAATTAAAAACATGTAACAGATTTTAAAATACAAGCTACATCTGAGGGGCCACTTTGCACAGCTGAGAGAATGGGCAAGGGTTAGCAGTCAGGGAGATGCTGGGTTCCTGCTACAAAGGAGCCTCCTTAAGGAAGATCACAGAAAGGGGACGCGCTGTGCTGCACAAGCCCACCCAGAGCAGGAGGTTAGAGACTACAACGCTGGGCTAAGGACTGAAGCTGGGCTAAGGACTGAAACGCTAAGCTTTCTCCCTAAGAGGAAACAGGATGAGGAATTTAAGAACAGGCGACTGAAACAGAAGAAAACCTCAGGGAAGTCTACCAGCAAATTCTAAGCAATTCTGCTTATTTTATACTTTTTCTGTAATTAGTGGTGCTGGTGGGGAGGGGGTAACGAACAGTTTCTATGTTTAATTTAATGGGTAAGTAATTCAAAATACTATGTCAAATATACACATTTATAGTGCTCCTATTTAAGGATACTATCTTCTGCAACCCATCTTGTACCTTTCTAAGCATTTTCCAGAATCATCTCTAGTATCTTAAATATTTATAATCAGCTTTACTTTTCAAATATCAGTTTAGAGCCTGGTGTGGCGGCATGCGACTGTAATCCTGACACTCTGGAGGCCAAGGCAGAAAGACAAGTTTGAGCCCAGTCTGCGCAACCTGACCGACCACTCAGCAAGACCGACTCAAAATACAAAAAGGCCTGGGGATGTAGCCCAATGCAAAGACCCTAGGTTCAATTCCTAGTCCTGCAATAATTAATTAATTTAAAATTTCAATTCACAAATGAATTTAAGAAGTTATATTCTAACCTTCTACTTGCATGAAGCTTGAGGAAAAGATTCTTGTTTCCTACTTTGTCTAGGACTCTTACAAATGTTTGGATATGCTTTATTAGAGTCTTCTCACCAGCAACAATGAAAATGGTTCGATTAGTAACCAAGGATTTATACTGAATGAGATTAAAATGCTACTTTCTAAAACATAGCAAAGTTGTACTAGTCAATTTGAATTGTATATTAACTTTTTAAATAAAATACTGGCTTGATACTTTCTGGTCAACTCTGGGGGGGATAAAGGGCCTTTCACATCCCTCAACCTCCTTTTCCACCCTTAATCTTACTGAATATAAAACCAGGTTGGTTGTACAGGGTCTGTGGCAGTGTTTCAAGAGGCTATAATTACAACTCATCCGATAGAGATGAAAATAGAGGTAAGTACTGTACATCTTCCCCATTTATCCCACAGCCTAATCATAAAGGGAAAAAGTTAACATCAACTTCAACTCTTAAATAAACAGTAGGCAAAGACAGAAATAAGTCAAAAAAATGATCTGAACTATGTGGTATTTGGCTCAAATTAAGAAAACGATTTAAGAAATCCCTTTGTTTTTCTTTATTAGAATTTCTTTACTGGCAAAAAGACTGTAAATTTCTAAACATGAAATCATTTGTGTGGTGAGAGGTTTTTAGTTTTTAACACAAGTATTCTTCCAAAGCAAAAAAAAAAAACTAAGTTAGTTTTAATAGCAATCCTGAATGTTTTTCCAGACAGAAAGTCCAATGAATCAGAATTTAAATAGTAAAGACTACAGAAGTAAGAGTTGGCAAAGTGTATGCTATTTTAAGGACTCCCTTCCTGGAAAAGCAGGACTATAAATGCATTAAGAATGGAAAGAAAGGAAAGGAATAAATATGAGAAAAGGAAAAAATGGAAACAAACTCTTTGTAGATAGGGAGGGGTGGAGGAGTTGAAGGGAGGGCAGGGGAAGGGGGAAAAATAAGAACCAAGAGAGATCATGTAAAGGTGCAGATTCCCAATGATGAATGTCATTATACTGTACAACCTAAAATATACCAATAAAATTAATTTTAAAAAAAGAACGGGGACACTGGGCTGGGGGTGCAGCCCAGGGGTAGAGCGCTCGCCTAGCATGCACAAGGGGCTGGGTTCAATCCCCTGTGCTGGGGGTTAAAAAGTCACATGAAATTATTCTCTTCTATTCTCTTCTCATCTATCTCTTTCCCTTACAAACTAACTTCACCACAGAAGAAACTGCATTAAGAAAAAGGCACATACACTCTAAACATTTCATCCACGATTATTCATTTAGAAAGCAGAAAGATGGTATACAACAATTCAAACTACAGTGAATCAAACTTTCCTCCATACTAGCACCTTTCTTTTTTTTTTTCCAGAATTATATTTTATTTCACATTGATAGAAACCATGAAAAACATTTACATTGCCCCACATTACAGCACAACATTTCAATGGAGTATTTCTCGCTATAAATAAGATCTTACTGATTTGCATAACTAAAATAAGTCTACAGTTCTTCAAGGTAAAGCAGAATGACATAGTAAATGATTGTTTAAAATTTTTAAATCCAGGTAAACATATGGCTTCATTATAAACATCCTAGTCCATTACCAGATTATTTCCATGATCAATTAGCACTATAAAGATGCATTCTTGCTGGGGATTTGGCTCAGTGGTGCCGCCACCTGCCTTGCAAGTGCAAGGTCGTGAGTTTGATCCCCGGCACCAAAAAAA